AAAAAAAAAAAAAGAAAGCTTATTAATCCTTGTGTAAGAAAGTTGAAGAAATTCATGTATTTAGTCAGATAAGACTACAGGAAAGTACTGTTTTTAATAGCTCAAAACTTTACATCAGAATAAAAGCAGATTGAGTCTTGGGTTCTTTAGAAAGCAATACCTGAATCATGTTTTCTGAGTTGGATTGTAAAGCTGTTTGGACTAACAAGGAGAACTGCCCACAGTAGTATAGGAGCTGTTCAAATAGATAGGTAACCTGGGTGTGGTGGCTCAAGCCTGGAATCCCAGTAGAGAAAGGATTGCCATGCATTTAAGACCAGTCCAAACTCTACAGTGCAAGACACTGTCTCAAAATGAAACAGTCAGGTAGACTGCACTGCCATGCTTAGGTTCTAGAGGAGTGAGTTTCTACCATGAAGCTCAGTGCTGCCCAAGATCATGAAACCTTGTGCCTGATTGGAATAGTAAGCACACCCTGCCAGTGTCCCCAAGTGCTGGTTCATGAATCAACGTCGGATGAGTTGCCTGTATAAAAACTAAACTGTCCTTGGAGTGAATTGTGGGACCCTGGACAGTGTTTGGGAACCACTGTGCCAACCAAGTCTTGTCTTAGGAGGCTTAAGGCTGTAAGCAGAAGAGTCACTTTAACGTAGCTCTGAGGACTGTGTGGGGGATAGAACAGAACAAAGCTACGAAGCCCAGAGGCCATTTAGGGGTCTGAACATCACCATCTAGAAGAGACACTGGTGGCTTAGATGGTGCAGTAAGGACTAAGTTTTTCATGTCTTGAAGTTGGTGGATTTGTTGGTCTCTGATTCTGCACTATTATTCTGTTTTCAAATGCTTAATTAAAATTTGCAGTTTCATTGAGTCAGCATAGTTGTCTGTCTCCCCAAACAGCCATGGCCATGATAGTGTCTACAAATTTTCTGTAGTGTAGGACAGGTAGAAATGATCAACATATTATAAAAAAAACATTTCAAACACTGTGAGGGATGTAAGTCAATAAATATGAAATTTTAAATTATGTATAATGTATGGTCAGTGGTGAATGGAAATTGACCACGTCAAATGGGTCAAATCTGAGCCAATGCCTGAAGGGAGAAGGCAATGTGCTGTGGGAGAAGACAAGACAATCCAGTGCTTTTACTCAAGTGTAGGGCACTGTATGTATTGTATGTCCAACATCTAGGTGTATACCTGACTGAGCACAGCGGATTGAAGATGAGTGGGGTAAATGTTTTGAACATTGTATGTGCAAGTGTAGGAGAGGACACGACTTACTGGAGCCTGTGGTTCCTTACATTGGCAAAGTAGAGTAGGTCGTGGAAGTAGTTAAATACTGGCTGATGTTCCGTAGTCAATTTAGAAGAAGGAAGAGGTGAGGTCATTGTAGAGTCTGAAGGAGTAAATACCTCTTTAAGAATTATTCTGAGTGAAGCTTCCTAAGAGCCTTAACACAGTCTTTATGTATTCTGTCTCTTGTGAAGTTACTTAAATGTTTTACATAGTTATTACAAAATTCCAAAGTTTTAAATTACTCATATGGCCATAAGAATTTTTCCTTTTAAGAACCATGGCTTTCCTAAACAGTCATGCTGACTGTTGGAAAAATATTTTGAGAGAGAGAGAGAGAGAGAGAGAGAGAGAGAGAGAGAGAGAGAGAGAGAAAGTGAAACAATAACAAAATCCAACCTGAGAGCTATTTAAAGGAACTCATATTTTTGAAGTGTAATTATGTGTTTTCACTTTTCATAAGTATAGCATTTTTTTCTTACTCCTTTTTGGCCTAATTTTTAAAAATTAACTGAGGTAATTTTTTTTGTTGTTGTTTACTGATTATTATCTATATTTTTATAAAACAAAGCATTTTTTTAAAGTTTATAGAAGACACTTGTCAGATATGCAGAATATCCAACTGTTAATTTCTTTCTAAATGATGTTGCAAATCTCTTAGCTCTTAGATGAAAGCCTTATTCAAGCCATAAAATTTTATGGCTGTCCACTAAAATGAATATAGAGAAAGAAAAATGATCTATCAAAATTTCCTATTTATTTAGTAACCCACATTGATGTTTCTGGAACAAGATTTTGGTATCTCCACCAGTGTCTTGGTGTTGTATGGATGCATAACTATTATAATTAAAAATAAATGCAGGTTTTTTCTGCCAGTCTTGACAATGCTTTGCCAGAAGGGTGCTCAGTAAATTTGTTGAAACGAAAACCTGGATGGCTTCAGAGGCTTCTGGAGGCAAGTTCTCTGCCCATGGTCCCTTGTCCTGTGGTTCCACTGCTCAGATGTGGGCACTCAGGTCTTGTGTATAGTTTGCAATTGGAACATCTCTGAGGTGGTAAAAGTGTCCAATCCCTCTTTGGTAGAGCTGGAGTGGACCAGAGAAGCTGCTGGCTTTAGATGAGCTCATTGATAGCTGTGAACCAACACAGGTGAAGCATATGATGCAAGTGATAGAGCCCCAGTTCCAGCGAGACTTCATCTCCTTGCTCCCGAAAGAGGTAAGTAAGGGCCATCAGTGGCGCCCCACACGGGTGCTGTCCAAGTATATAACTGCTGCCTCCTGTAAGCAGTGTCCTGCGCCTTACGGTTTGACACTTTGACAAACTGCTGTCACGGCTTAATGGTACAATTGTCACATAAAGTATGCTTTTAACCAAGGTACATCTTTCTTCCACTTGGATAGGTAAGTCTGCATGAGAGTCACTGAGTTTCTTCAGATTTTCCTTCCGTTATCTGAAACTTGACCTTAGTTATTTGGGTATATTTATTATTTAGTCGATGTTTTCAAAATTCTGGATTCATTAAGCAGCAATACTATTTTTGCTCTTATTTCATCAGTTATTTCTCTTGCATTCCTTCAAGACTAGTAGTTTTCTGACTGTTGTTATTTCTCTGGTCCTTGAATTATGTAGTTATTTTTATTTATCTATTTTCTTATGTGCATTGGTGTTTTGCCTGCATGTATGTCTGTGTGAGGATGTCAGAAACCCTGGAACCAGTGTTACAGACAGGTATGAGCTCCCATGTGGGTGCTGGAAATTGAACCCAGGTCCTCTGGAAGAACAGCCAATGCTCTTAACTGCTGAGCCATCTCTCCTGCCCCCTGTAATTATTTTTAATATGTAGAATTTTACCTATATGTCCTTGTCCATTTTTACCAGTCATCTTCCATCTGAGAGAGAGAGATCACACAGAAATTCCATTCTTACAGCACGTCATCATACAGCCATATGTGGCTACATAGTTTAAATATAATGCATGTGTTGACATTTTAGACTTCACAGCTTAATTTTTATCAGGAGAAAGGAACAACTCCCATGCTTTATATTTTCTCAAATTACTATACACATGCTCCTAGTTACATACCAGCTAAAAAGACAGTACAGAAAAGTGACACATGATGACACATGACAAATGATCCTGAAACCGCAAACTGGAACAGAAAAATAGTTATGCTTCCTCTTTTCTTAGAGAACCACTCCAAGGTTTTCTTAAGAGACATTAATAGTCCTAATTATAATTTTGCATTAAATTTGAGTACAATCGAGGAAACTAAACATAACTCGAGGGAAAAGCAAAATTGACAAAACATCTTTTTCCTGGTACTTTTTAAAAATGACATTGTCACACAAAAGAAGTGTTTATTCTTGTGAGCTTTTTCTACAACAAAACTCTGAATAAACTCAGGAAAGTAACATGAGGTCATCAGGGCATAAAATAGTAGGAAACATTTTTTGTAAATGAAGCAAATACTCACCTTGATATATTTTCCATACCTGAAACCCTCCTTTAGAATCTTAATTTTACAGATTCTCTCATAGCTTAGTGTTTTTAGTTATCTCTGAGAGTTTTTCTATTTTGTTTTGCTTTATTTTTATTTGTATAGACAGCTCTTAACATGCAAAAACTTCCTGACCTCAAATCAATAGAATTTGAAAATCTTTGTGGGGGTTATTTGTATATATATATTTGATGTGCATGTGTTCAAATGAGTGTGCATAAATACATGCAGATGCTTCTGCACACATGTACATGTGGAGGCCAGAGGTGTGTTCCTCGGGTGTTCCCACATTATTGAGTCATGAGTCATGATCTCTCGCTGAATCCAGAGCTTACCCATTCAGCTAGAGTAGCCAGTGAGCTCCTGTCAGGCCTCCCGAGCACAGGGATTATCGCTGCCACTGCCATGCCTGGCTTTACAAGAGTGCTGAGATCCGAATCCTTATCTTCATGGCTGTACATGAAACATGACCAACTGAGCCTTCACCAAGCCCCACAGTTTGAGAATGTTTTAGCATTTAAGAAGTAAGCACAGATTATTAAAAAAAGGTAAGCCCCAGAAGATTATCTTGGCTTACATGCTCTTCCAAAGACTGTCAGAGGAAAAAAAAGAAGGGAAGTTAGAAAGAGAGCCTGGTATCTATGGTTTTTTTGTTTTCAACGACTGGGTGGGGAAAGCTTCTTCATTTAAAAAATGTTTTATTTCATATATGGAAGAATAATGGCATAGATCTAAGTCCTTAGGGAAGTTTGTGTTAGAGAGAATGTGTTACTTAAAACCTTATTACTGTATTGACATAATGTACTGGTGTTTTTCTAATAATTGGTGTGAACAAATCTCAAGCCTTTCTTTATCAACATTTAGGCTAATCTAAGAACTGGAGCACTAGGCTCACACAAGAAACTTGGGATCAGTGGCATTGTTCTCACTGTAAGTAAATACCAATAAAATCATCTAGAATAAAGCCTCAGATTCCTGATAGGAGATTAACGAGCATTTTCTTTGCTCTTAAAATACTGCTCTTCTTGATTCGCTCGCTCAGTCTACCAAATACAACTGTCCTAGGGAGATGCTCACCCTGTGGAGATGCTCACCCTGTGGAGAGTAACCTCTGTCATTTTCGGAAGTGTGAGTGTGCTGTCCTTCTTCCTTCCCACAGCTGGCACTCTATGTACTTTCATTCCTGGAACCCAAGGACCTGCTGCAAGCGGCTCAGACTTGTCGATACTGGAGGATTTTGGCTGAGGACAACCTTCTCTGGAGAGAGAAATGTAAAGAAGAGGGTAAGGTTCAAAATCACATAGAGAATGTGTTTCTACCCTGCAGAGACAAGTAGACAGAATAACTTTCCTGTGCAGGGAAAATAAATCACTGGCTCAGTGGTACCTGCCAGAGTGAGTCTGTGTCTATTCACTTCCTTGATCTCAACAGCGAAGGAGTCCACCTGATTTAAAGGAAACCACATTCAGCAATTAATACCCATAGAATTGAGTATTGTATCCACTCCTCCCATAATTACATGGTGGACATTCATAAATGCTGGGGAGACTGTACTGTTTGACGTCTTCCTCATGACATGGACCTTATATTCTTGAAGCATAGTTTGGTTTGGTTTGAACCCCCTTTCTTAAGAAGGGAGTAAGTATCTTCCATATTGATCAAAGGGAAGACCTTCTGTTTTGCAAACAGGCATCTAGAAAAGTAATCATTTTGGAGAAAAAATTGTTTCTGAAAAGCAAAATGTTAGAGGAAAAACTGGTAGTGCTATATAATATGAAGGATGCTCTCTGCAGAGCTGTGTGGCCAGGTGGAGAGCATTGGTGGTAGTGAGGCTTAGTAAAGACTTGGGGTGACGAGCTTGGGGCTTCTTGCTAAGCCTGGTCCTGAAGTCAACTTCTGGCTGCTCTCGGATTAATCAGTAAAATCTTCTTTCTCAAGCATCTCCATATGTAAACTAGGGTTAATCAACTCTACCTTACCTTCTTTCTCAGAATCTTTTGTTTCCTCCTTGAGGCAGGGTCTCTACAGCTCTGGCTGTATGAGAAACCGAAAGGTAGACCAGGCTGGCCTTTAACTAATGAAGATCTACTTTCCTCTGCCTCCTGAGTGCTGGGATTAAAGGTATGTGCTGCCATGCCCAGCTTCAGAATCATTTTTAAATGTCCTTTAACTGTGTTTGTTAAAAATGATTCTGAACAGCTTGGTCTACATAACAAGTTCCAGGACTGCATAGTAACACCCTATCTCAATATACATACATACATACATACATTACCTGAGGTAATGGTGTGCATCTGTAATCATACTACTTGAGAGATAGAGGCAGGATTAATGAAAGCCATCTTGGTTTACATAGTGAGTTCCAGGCCAGTATCATTTAAGTCATTTTGTTGTGTATGATACAGTGATATTCTCCCCATTCCTTCTTGCCTGTTGCCTACATGCTTTGTCTCTGTAAATATACTATTCTAGGAACCTGTGATAAGTAAAATTATACAATGTTTATCCTTTTGCAATTGCCTTATTCACTTAGCAATACGTCTTCAAGGTTCATGTCACAGCGTGTATCCTACATGCCCTTTGTTAAAGCCGAACAGCATTCCATTGTGTGTATTGCTGCATTTGGGTTTTTGGACAGACACGTGGACTGCTTCCAACTTTTGGCTAACTGAATAATATCAGTATGAGCATGGGTGTATAGATAGCTGTTCACATCTCTCTTTTTAATTCTTTTGAGTATACATGCAGAAGTTAAAAGTGCTACATTCTGTATTACGTTTGTGTTTTTGAGGAGTCCCTGTGCTAATTTCCACGGTGGGGGTACCATTTTACATTCACACGAGCAGTACACACTCATTGCTGTCTTTGTGTGTCCACACCAACACCTTCTTTGTGAGAAGGAGAAGTAGTAGTGAGTACAGAAGTGCCATACCAAATGCAGACTTACTGCCGTATGGCGCAGTGACCATGTTAGGAGATGCTACATCACTTGTGCTAAGCAGAAAAAAACAAGATCTTTTAAAATGTGTAATTTCTATTAGTGGTGAAAGGACTTATTCTCTTGAACTCTTTGATACTTTAGGAATTGATGAACCGTTGCACATCAAGAGAAGAAAAATAATCAAGCCAGGTTTTATACACAGCCCATGGAAGAGTGCGTACATCAGACAGCACAGGATCGATACCAACTGGAGACGAGGAGAACTCAAGTCTCCCAAGGTAACAGAAACCTTCAGTCAGTAGGAACACCTGATCCGGCTCTTCTCCTGCTGCCCTGAAGGATGCTTGCTGCCTGCCTTCTGTGAAAGAAAGCTGGCTGTATTTTAAAATTAACTCGAAGTGTAACTAACAGTGTTCCTTTATTTCTGCTTTCTTTAATCTGTTAATTTTATTGGAATCAAAGATGAGTTGATCCAGGCATGGGGGCTTGTGCTTGTACTCAAGTACTCAATCCCTGTATTCAAGAAACTGAGGCAGGAGGATAGCTGTGAGTTTAAGACCAACCTGGGCAACATACTGAGCTCTAGGCCAACCTGTGCTATGGTATGAGACCTGATCTCAAGAAAATCTCCCAAAAAAGATGAGTTAAGAGGAAGTGAATTTGTTCTGGACCACTCTGCATGACATTGCTATTATTAATTATCATTATTACTTTTTAGAAATATCAGTTTTGGTTTTCTTGTGGATTTTTCTGTGTTTTGTTTTTTATAATTTGAAGCAGAAGTCTCATTTTTTGTCTTAGAATATTATTTCAGATATATAACTGGTAGAAATCCTCAATTCATAAACTTTTATAACAAAAAATTAACCAATTTTGGGGGGCATTATTTTATATGCCAGCATTCACTGGCATAATTTTTAGGTTGAAAAAAAAATTATTTGTTATTCCTCTGTTTCTAGGTGCTTTATTTTTTGAAGTGTTAAAAGTTGATCACAGAGTCCAGTCCTCTTCCTCCTCTTTTTACTGTTTTAATTCTGAGCTGAGGTTTGCCTAGGTTATCCAGGTTGGCCTGGAGCTCACTTGGTAGCCCAAGATGTGCTATATATTTTATATAAATTTCATTCTAAAAATAGATTACAGATTACTGTTCTGACACATAAACCGCTCTTGCTTTCACTGGTATTTGTGTGTGTGTGTGTGTGTGTGTGTGTGTGTGTGTGTGTGTGTGTGTGATGTATGCACATGTGTGTGTGTCCTTGCATGTACCCATGCGCACACACAGGCCAGAGGAGGATGTCAGCTTTCCTGTTCTCATTCTCTGTCTGACTTCCTTCTTTGAGATCGAGTCTCCTCCTGATCCTGGAGCTAGGCTGGGCCACCATAAGCTCCAGCAGTTCTGTCGCCACACTCCACAGTGTCCGGGTCACAGGCCTGTGTGTGACTCTGCCCAGTTCTTACGTGAGTTCTGGGGCTCTGACCCCAGGCCCCGTATATCTGAGCCACCTCTGCGGCACTTCACTGTATTTAAAGCCTGTGATGTAATGCCATAAACGTGATGTGTACGTTTTTCTTACAGGTGCTGAAGGGGCATGATGACCATGTGATCACATGCCTACAGTTCTGTGGTAACCGCATAGTTAGTGGGTCTGACGACAACACTCTAAAAGTTTGGTCAGCAGTCACTGGCAAAGTAAGTTCACTTCTTTCCACACTTGCTGTTTGGTTGTTGTTTCGTGTGTGCAGGCAGAGTAAAAGAGGGCTTTGATCCTCCGCTGTTGTGATACCAAACATCAGGCTGTCTTTAGAAACGTTACCTTGGCATGGCGGCAGCGGTGGTTTCTTCATTTCAATAGTTTGTTGTCCTTGTCACCTAGATAGTCTAACATTTCTCGGATTCGTGTCCTCTTCTCTGAGCTTACTTCTCACCTTGCCCATGTGAATTAGAGTCATTATCCCCAACATCTTCCAAATATGACTGAGTGATTTGTAAGTTTTCTTATAAACTGCTTTGTGGCTGAGCTTTCTATAATTTAGAAGTCAAGTAAATCCTGTTCATCTAAAGTTGTCTCAGTCTTGAATGGTAAGGGAATGAAGCAGGGGAGGTTTTAAATACCGGGTTGAAAAGCCAAGTAGTCCAAGCAGTGGCTTTATTTCACATAGCATTCCTTAATGAGTCTCTAGTGAACATTGACTTTATTCATCCAAAAGAGAGTATTTTCATGAATTAAGTAATCAACCATTTAAAAGGTAAGAGAAAATTGAGAAAAATCTATGTTTTTAAAAACATTTTTTGCTGTGTTGTTCCTTAGACAAGAATCTTATAAATACTCAAAGCAGATGGTAAATTTTCAAAGCAGCTACACGTTTCCAGGATATAATATTAGTTTTGGACTTATCTCAGAGTCTCGGTGTCTGTCTTTACATGTCTAGAGTAGCATGGGCAGCCCCTAACTACCGCCTTCAGGCAGACGGGTGAACGTGGTATGTGGCCACACCTAACCCTCTTGGCATTCTTGCCTTGGTTCTCTTCCGTGGGAGACACCCTGCTGCAGCTTGAATATTTTTCAGTCATGGCGGCCAGGCTAGAGCTGTTGAACCTGCTTGCATTTTAGTATGTTTGCTTTCTGTCATGGCTTATGCTTTATAACCTACAATTATTTTTAAATATTTTACTTCATTTTATTATTTTATGTGTGTAAGTATTTACCTGTATGTATGTATGTATGTATGTATGTATGTATGTATGTATGTATGTGTGCATGCCAGGTGCCCTTGGAGACCAGAAGAGGGTGTCAGATTCCCTGGCACTGGAGTTATAGGTGATTGTGGGGCACTAGGTGCTGGGAATCGAACCCAGGTCCCTGAAAGAGCAGCCAGTCTTAGCCACTGAACCATCTTCCCAGCCCTGCCATGCTAATCTTCTGTCTCATCTGGTGTGTGCTGTGTCAGCACTGTGGCTCAGTGGTGTGTGCATGTATAAGCATGTATCGCTACCAGATAAACAGTTTGGTAATAATGGCGTCATAGAGCATTGGTGTGCAAAATGCTTTCCTGGTGCTCTAATAAAGTTGAATAAGTAAAATTTATTCTAGACTTTAGTGAGATAGTAGTATACTCTTTGACTTGCTTTCATTTCTACCTAAAATTAATCATCTGAAGTGTTTTTCCAGTGTCTAAGAACGTTAGTGGGACACACCGGTGGAGTGTGGTCATCACAGATGAGAGACAATATCATCATTAGTGGGTCCACTGACCGGACTCTCAAAGTATGGAATGCTGAGACTGGAGAGTGTATACACACTTTATATGGGCACACTTCCACCGTACGCTGTATGCATCTCCATGAAAAGAGGTAAGGGAAATCCCATTATGGTGGGGACTTTCACTTCTCTTACTTGTGAATTTGAGATTCATATAGTGCTAATGAGCTCTTAAAGTAGACACTAATGATTAAAGTGCAGTGTTTCTAAGTTAGGAAAGTCTGGTTATATTGGCTTAAAATTGGAGGATTGTCTTACAGTGTCCTTCTTCAGATGACGGTATAGCCTTTTTTCCTGAAGCGCTGCTCTCCATTCCCTTTGTTGATGATTTGATGATTCATCATCTTCAAACAAAAATCATTTTCTTTCTTGATAATCACATTTATGTTATGCAAGAGCAACAAATTCAGTCACTGAGACTTCTGGCCTATGAGTCCTTGAGTGACCCACCCACATTGCCCCCACTCCATCACATCCCTGGAACTAGACAAACACTGCGGTCCAGGGCTTTGACTTTTTTTCTCATTACCTGTCATCTGAACTATTCAGAGCTCTCAGATGTGGTCTTGCCTTCTGCACAGCTGACAGAGAGCCCTGGTATTAAGATAGCGTTGATGCCCTACTACTGCCCACCAAATTATGGAGGAACTTCCAGTCCCATTTTCAAAGTGGTTGCAGCCCATCCTGGTCTGCTTGTCCTCGCCTTCCCAGTGCCTCTGCCTGCTACTTTTTATTTTGCCTGCAGTGCCCTTCTGCTAAAACCATGTCCTTCTGTTAACACATTTTCATTGCAGACAGCTAAAAATTGTTTTCTACTTCATTTGTCAAAAAATATTCTGTTGGCCTTATGTGATACATGCTGCTGCTAATCTTTGCACTGGGAAGGTAGGAACAGGAGGATCCTTGAATTCACAGCTTTTAGAGGAGACCCTTCCTCTAAAAGAATGTATCTTAGAAGGGTCCTTACACTGAATCCACAGCAGCCATGACCTACACTCTATCCATAGTGTTTTTTTTTTTTTTTAATTCAGAACTGTTTTGGTAAGTAGACTGTCCCCTACAGTTGTGGTATGTACAGGGGCCTCCTTTTTATTTTAATTTGAGCCTGCTTTGCACAGTGTGTTGTGTGATTGAAGTGTAAGGGATGAGTTTCAAGAGACCTTGCATTTCCATTCTCGTTGCGTTCATTTTCCCACACGTCATCATTCCACTCTTTCCAGTGTGGAGACTGGCTTTTATCTCTTGGGATTGACATGAGGTGCCTGGTTAGCAATCCAGAGGTAACTGCATGATTGTATCACTCTGGTTTCCAGAAGAGTATAATTTTATAACATTGAGCCAATTTCTGAAGGCATTTCTAGACTATCTTTAAAAGTCTGTGCATCAGCAGCTGTGAGCACATGTCTGAAGCTGACTTTTTTTCTGCATGGGAAGTATAAGGGAATAGCCATAGTTTTCTGAGTCCCAAATCATTGAAATTTTTACTTTCTCAAATATTTAATAGAAACTCATAATTGAAATGTAATGAAATGACAAAGATCATAAAGTAAGTTTTGGAATGTTCTAAGTTAATACCACCGAGATCTGCACTGAGGGTTGAGCTGCATGTGCAAGTTACCATTTCCCTTCTAATCAAGACAGCTTGTGTGTATGGAGAGCTGTTTGCTTCTTGGATACAGTGCAGTTGTTTCCAGCTGTGCCATGGAACCTTGAGGGGGAACCAAGGTCCATAAACCAGGGGGAACAACCAGATGAGCTTCTGGTCGTCCTCAGTTCCCATCCCAGGCAGAGTGACTCAGATATATATTTGAAGGCATTAGGTAGGGTCTCTCTTCTGGAAATCTTTCTGTTGTGTTTAAGAAGAAGAAAAAGCAAACACTGTTTTACCTGTCGGGTGTGTTCATGCTCTTCAGAGTTCTAATACCTTGTTTTCTGTGCCCTCTCTGCAGAGTTGTTAGCGGTTCTCGAGATGCCACTCTCAGGGTTTGGGATATTGAGACCGGCCAGTGTTTACACGTCTTGATGGGTCATGTAGCAGCCGTCCGCTGTGTTCAGTATGATGGCAGGAGGGTTGTTAGTGGAGCGTATGATTTTATGGTGAAGGTGTGGGATCCGGAGACTGAGACCTGTCTACACACGTTACAGGGACACACTAATAGAGTCTATTCATTACAGGTAAGACTGTGTCTCTCCCATCCCTTAGATGCTTTGCTGATGACTCATGAGATCATTCTCCTCAGTTAGTTACTGCCAAGTTGCTGTTTATATATACCTTAAAATTAGCATGAAGAAAACATTAATTCCAAAATCATTTAACTGGTTTAATAGTTTCAATATCTGTGATACATTTCTCAAAAACGCAAATATTTGTCTTGGAACCTGGTACTTCAGGGCTGTAAATTTTGCTACATTAATTAATAGTTAGATAGTCTCATAGGAGAATACCTTGGATTTTAATAAACTCCTTAGCTGAGGATTAATTTGGCCAAAAGCTGCCCCTTTGCCTTGATAGCTAAAAGTTGATGGGCCATGTAATTGTGATTCCATCCCTATTTAAAGTGGCTGTGGAGCCTGTCTGCAGAAAACTACAAACTTGCCCAGGGCCATCGACTGGGAGCCATAGAGAGGTGAATTTGACTAGCCTGTTGTATTCCTTTAGACTTGAACTTCGTATTTATTAATAGATTATGATATTTCAAGATCTTCAGTAACTAGACATAAAACGTGGGTTGCCTTTATTTCTGGAAATGCAGCATTTTCCATTTTAAAATATTTCCTGTTACATAATTTTCTTCCCAGTTACTTGCCTGTTAGTGATCAGCTGAGTAGAACAGGATCCCAGTGCTGACATTGCTGTTCTTAGGGTATTTGATTCTTAATTGATGATACTGCCCAAGTAATGAAATATCGATAGATGAGAAAGATGTGAATTACTTTAGAAAAGATGATGGCTTCCAAGGGGAGGGAATTGTCTGCCACTGTTGTTGCTACTTGTGGTGTGCTCAGAACTGTAGAGAATCTCAGATCTCAGAATACATAGCCAGTTGTTAGATCTGCCTCCTGGGGATTGGTAGGAGTTTGTTGGCTTTTAGTGTCCTTGGGAAGCTGAAGGAGAGGCTGCATAGCTTGCTTTTGTTACTAAAATGCCTCCTTCTAATTCCTGATAGAGTTATCTTTTGGGATATTTCCTAATCAGCAGTAAGTTCTTTTCTTTTTCTTTTTTCTTTTTTGGTTTTTTGAGACAGGGTTTCTCTGTGCAGTTTTGGTGCCTGCTATGGATCTCACTTTATAGACCAGGCTGGCCTTGAACTCACAGAGATCCACCTGCCTCTGCCTCCCGAGTGCTGGGATTAAAGGTGTGCGCCACCACCGCTACCTGTCTGCAATAAGTTCTTGTAAACAACTTCATTTTACAAACAGGTTTTAATGGAATTTACCTTTGAGCATCACAAAAGTTATCTGTGGCCCTTCTTATGCCTTGAGTGCTGATAAGCACAGCTTTTGTCTCAAGCTCTGGCTTGGGCTTGCTATGGGCAAGTCAGACTCAGCTTTCTTACTGAATACATGGGATGTAGCTTCCAGCTGGGACCAGGTGATCTGAAAGAATGATGCTCATTTCAGGTGCTTCGTTTTCTTTTTGAAGTTGTTTCTGCCTCATGTTTGAATTATTGGGCAGTTTTGTTGAGTTTTGATTTTTTTTTTTAATTTTTAAGAGAATTTATAAAAAGTGTTTTGGAGACGTGATCCACAAACTGGCATGATGGCATGCACATCAGCTTACCTGCGAGTTTATCCCAGTGCACTCTTGTTCTGGCCTTACATGTTGCTGTCTCCCACTCCCCACTGTGAGGAACGTCTGCCAGCTGAAAGGAAAGATACCCATGTCTCTGTTCTAATACGCTATGTCTGTTGTAGTTTGACGGCATCCATGTAGTGAGTGGATCTCTTGATACGTCAATCCGAGTCTGGGATGTGGAGACAGGGAATTGCATTCACACGTTAACAGGACACCAGTCATTAACAAGTGGAATGGAACTCAAAGACAACATTCTTGTCTCTGGGAATGCAGATTCTACAGTTAAAATCTGGGATATCAAAACAGGACAGTGTTTACAGACATTGCAAGGTAAGTATTGGCCCTCCCACAGCCATTTTCTTTCCAAATGTCTTTGCTCTTCAAGAGAGAACCTGTGTAGAGCCGAGATTTAACCTCATGCAGAGTACTTAACTCCTGATGACTTTATGAAGGTTTGGCTTTCAAAAGTAGGCCACCTTGAGAAATGGTTTTCAATTGTCTTTAATGTGAAAATTCTTACTTATTTCCTGCATGTTCAGTCGACTCTATTTAACCTTAACAATGAGAAGAAAGACTTGGCTGTCTCACAGAAGCAACACTTTTTTTGACTGATCATTATATTTTGAATTGAAGCATCTCTGATAGGAAATTACTTTGGCTTCCACTTAGCCAACTGCTTTAGTTGGGATGAGAAGGAGTAATGGTTCCCTCTGAAATAAAGAGATGTGTGAGAAGGTTAGTATTGGAGGCAAGCACCACTGGACTCTTTATGACTCACTTTTTTATATTTAGATGCAGCCCTTAGGTTTGTTTGTTTTTAGTGAGGCCGGCCATCTGGAGGGCATCACGTGGTAGCCTTTGCCCATTAATTTTGTGTATTCTTGGGAAATTGGGGGTAGTACAAGTTCAGTTTTCTTCTTTGGTTGGTCCATTGAGAGTGATAGAGTGACAGGTTTGTCACATTCCTTTTTCCAGCAGTAGAATGTGTGAAGCTGCACTGCTTTGTGTCGTTTCAGGAAAGCTCTCTTTCATAGAGCCAGAGAACAAACGGTGTGCCTGTAGCTAACCAGGCGTCCTGGGCGACAGGCCTTGAGGTTGGGGCTTCCGTTACAAATAGCTACCAGATTGTTTTATATCCACGCTGGTCTTAAATACAACAAGGTTTCTAAATATGCAGCTTTTCAATGTTGAGTTTCTCGTATGTTCTAACTAGAAGACAAGTCCTGTGCAAAAGCCCCTGACCATCTTTTCTAAGTAGTCATTAAGTCCCTGTGCTTCCGCCTAGGTCCCCACAAGCATCAGAGTGCTGTGACCTGTTTACAGTTCAACAAGAACTTTGTAATCACCAGCTCAGATGATGGGACTGTGAAACTCTGGGACCTGAGAACGGGTGAATTTATTCGAAACCTAGTCACATTGGAGAGTGGGGGGAGCGGGGGAGTTGTGTGGCGGATCAGAGCCTCCAACACCAAGCTGGTGTGTGCAGTTGGGAGTCGGAATGGAACTGAGGAAACCAAGCTGTTGGTGCTGGACTTCGATGTGGACTTGAAGTGAAGGAGCAGACAAGATGAGTTTTGTCCAGCTGTGTAGACAATATGCTCCCTACCCTTCCCCCTGCGCAAAAAACAAACAAAAAACCGAAAAGGAAAAAAAAAAAAAACAGAAAAGAAAAAAAAAAGAAAAAAGAGAAAAAAAAAGAAAAGGAAAAAAATCCCTTGTACTCAGTGGTGCAGGACGTTGGCTTGGGGCAACAGACTGCAGAGACCTACAGACTAAGAAGGTAAGAAGGATGAAAGAGACCAGAAACCGGAACTGACAGAGGTGGCGGCCATCGCAGCACCTACAGGCTTCATTTCTGACTGAGGGGCAGCTTTGCAAAACGAGACTTTCTCAACGCAACCAGGTGCAATTATCCTTGATTTTCTTCTCCAGTGGTCATTGGACAGAGCCACACCAAGACATTGTTACCGTCACCTAGAAAGGAGTGGCAATACTATCCAAACCTGTGCTGGTTCATCTTCTAATCAGAAAGCATCTGCAACAAAAGTCATTTTTCTGAAGTGGAAAAGCTTAAAGAAATTACTGTGAATTGTTTTTGTACAGTTATCATGAAGCTTTCTTTTTATTTTCTTTTTTTTCCTTTTCCTTTTTTTTTCTTTTTTTGTTTTTGTTTTTGCCAACCATTGCCAATGTCAATCAATCACAGTATTAGCCTCTGTTAATCTATTACTGTTGCTTCCATATACACTCTTCAGTGCATCCGTTGCTCGAAGTTGGCAAGTTGTCCTGGGTTCTGTGAGTCCTGAGATGGATTGAACTCTCGCTGCTGGTGCTAGAAGTAGGTCTTGAGATACGGGATCGTGTCCCACCCTGTACTGTACTCCAGTGGCCAAACTTATTTATGCTGCTAAAGGAAAGAAAGAAAAAGCAAATTATTTTTTTTTATTTTTTTTCTGCTGTGACGTTTTAGTCCCAGACTGAATTCCAAATTTGCTCTAGTTTGGTTACAGAAAAAAAGACTTTTTAATGCCACTGAAACTTGAGCCGTCTGTGCCTCTAAGAGGCTGAGAATGGAAAAGTTTCAGATAATAAAGAGTGAAGTTTGCCTGCAAATAAAGAATCGAGAGTGTGTGCAAAGCTTATTTTCTTTTATCTGGGCAAAAATTAAAACACATTCCTTGGGACAGAGCCTGAGGTGCCTGTTCTGTGGAGAAACTTCTTTTTTGAGGGCTGTGGTGAATGGATGAACGTACATAGTAAAACTGACAAGATATTTTAAAGATATATATAATACAAAATAAAAGAAAGTTGCTGGTCAGTCGTAGCATCTTGCAGTATTTGGGAAAACAACTGTTACAGTTTCATTGCTCTGAGTAACTGACGTGAGAGGAACATTCGCTCTGTAGTGATGGCGTCACACGCAAACCAGCGCGATGAACCAGCGCGATGAAGCATCGCGATGAACGGGAGTCAGATGGTCCGCCTCATTCACCAGGAGCCGTAACTCAAGCTGAACTGTGAAAGTGGTTAACACTGTATCCTAGGCAGTCTTTTTTTCCTCCTGTTTATTTTTTTGTTTGTTTTATTTATAGTCTGATTTAAAACAATCAGATTCAAGTTGGTTAATTTTAGTTATGTAACAACCTGACATGATGGAGGAAAACAACCTTTAAAGGGATTGTGTCTATGGTTTGATTCACTTAGAAATTTTATTTTCTTATAACTTAAGTGCAATAAAATGTGTTTTTTCATGTTACTACGCCTGTTTCTTCCACTTAGATAATACTGTTTCATTATAAAGATATGGGTTTGTGTCTTCTGTTTTAAACAGTCGAGTTTGGGGTTCCTAGCATTCCCTTCATTGTGACGTAGAAACCAGTGCTTCCAAGCTCAGCCGAGAAGGAGGCACTGCAGATGTCCCCCTGTGCTGGCAGGGAGGCCACTCCACTGTGCTTGCTTCCCTGTTTGCACTGGGTATATAAACATGGCAGCTGCTTCCTTGGGCACCTCAAAGGTGGACCTGAGAGCTGCAGCTCAAGCTGTGTAGGTAATGCCTCAGATTAACCATCATGATGGCAGGATCCAACCCGTTTTCAAAAACCGAATTCATGCAGCCTTGGATGAAATTCTAGCAAACTGAAACAAGATTTGGGAGGGAAATGCCCTTTTGGTTTTTTTTGTTTTGTTGTTGTTTGTTTGTTTGTTTGTTTTTGTTTTTGGTTTGTTTTTTTGTTTTTTTTTTTTTTTTTTTTTGCTTACATTCTTCTTTTGCCATTACTGAATCTGGAAAGACATAGATCTCTAATTATTTAATCTCAACTATCCAGGCCATACGAAACAAATCTCAAATAAACATGGAGTCCTATCTCACTATCTCAGGCGTCGGGCCAGGAGTCTGTTACAGGTGACCCTGAGCGTGGAAAGGCACTGGCTTACACACTGCTCTCCAAACCCTTTGGTTTCGCCGCCTCCGAGAGCTACTCGATAAGAACAGGGAGCGGCAGTCAAGACTGGAGCGTTACAGACAGAGCGAGCACAGTGCAGACCAGTTAGGCTGTGAGTGCAGCTCTGAGAGGACTAGGCCTCAGCCCAGAGCCTCGCCTGCTGCCTCGTTAGTGATGTCAGTCAACAAAAACTCAGTGGCTGATACAGTTCTTGGAAATTGATATTTTCAAAGAGTCGCCTACAATGAGGCTACACTGTGGTATAACTGAAGAAAACACCCACCTTTAAAACATGACAGAAAATAAAAGCTCATTGATTTTGCAAAGACGCAGGCGTCCCGTTGCTAATACTGTCAGTTACTAGATCTTTGCCGGTCCAACCTCATCTGTCCTCACATTCTAAACTGGATGGTAGCACCTAATGTTAATGTGAGGCTGTCACAAAGCACAGTAGGTCTTCGGCAGCACCTAAAACTCAGTGAAAGGAAGCCACTGTTAAATGTTCACTAGGTAGCAAAGTAGCTTAATACAGGCTTGGTGCCCTGAGGTCTGTCCCTGGGACCCATGACAGAAGGAGAGAACCAACTCCCAAAAGGTGATCCTTGACTTCCACACATGTACCATGTCATAGGAATGCCACCCCTGCCCCCATCATACCCACACAAAAATAAATACAGTTTTTAAGATAACAGAACCAGGTCATTGTAATGTTGTCTGTTTGACAATTGTTTTGTAGCTCATTCAGGTATATCACGAAAACGGCATAGCTAAATATGTAGAATTTATACTTCCATGTGTGTACATGTTGTGTTACACCAGTTTACATTATCTTAAGTGGAGTCACATGGATTCTGCCATCTTACAAAAATGCAATACTAATATTGAGCAGCTAACACTGATTTTGTGTCTACTCAGGTGTTAAGTATTGTAGGAATACATAATGTTTACGGATGTACAATGGTAGAGTGCTTGCCCAGCATGCACAGAGCCCCGGGTTCAATCCCGAGCGCCACATAAACCAGCGATTTTGAGAAGTTGAGACAACAAGATCAGAAGGTCATTTCTATTTCTAGCAAGTTCTATTCCAGGTTGGGATACATGAGACCTTGTACTTCAAAAAAGGGGTGGTGGTGATATTAGAGTAGATCTGTTCCTGAAAAAGAAAACGTTAGTCTCATTTCTAAGGAAATTAAGGAATTACTGTAGTTAAAGATCCCTGAGGGTCCTCTACCGCTTGACTTCTGCTGAAGGAATTGGCCGCTCCTACATGTAACTACAGTTCTGTAACTGCCATGGTAACAAAAGCTAATGCTTAGGATGACAGTACAGCCCTGAACCCAGCGCAGGTGCCCAGTGGGTGCCGCCGAGTGTTGCTAAGGGCATCGTGGACTGGGTATCATTTCTTACTGAAATTGTTTGTACCTTTGGCTGGGAAGCCCCCTGGCGAACTCGGTTGCCTCAGCTCTTTCATTAACCTCGCCAGCTAGTGCCTACCAAAGGGCTACATGAATACTCCAGCCTATTTGGCTAATTTCAGAAAACAACAATTGGCATCTAATTATTTGTATGAGCAGTTGTGGGCCATTCAGTCCTCCAGCTAGTTTATTATAATGCCATGTCCTTGAGTGAATCAGAGGCTACAAACAGTAACGGGAGAAACCTCCCTGGAGCCTTCCCAGCCCCAGCCATGCCATACTTCGAGGCCCTTCTCCCTAAGGCATTTACCACACCCCGTGAAATAGGGGTTCCGGAAGAGCCGAGCCCTAAGTGAACCTTGACCCCGGGACTGTGTGAAGCCCTGCTGTTTGCTTAGCAGGGACGGATGTCACTGTGTTTCCCACCCTCTGGTTCATCCGCTTGGGAAGGGGAGAGGTTGGGAAGTCTTTTTCAGTCAATACTCATTCCCCTCAGACAGCTTCGTTCCTTTCCTTCTGTTAGGCGTGCCTCATCCCAGGAAAGATCCAGACTGCGACCTGTGTTCTCTCAGGCTTGCCCGCCAACGAAGGATTTCACCCGCCATACCTTAGGGCAGTGCAGGAGAGCATCCTGTTCTGCAACTCTGTTGTAGCTGAGGGCCAAGTGCCCCTGTGTTGCCGAGGCATGAATGAATTGGAATAAAGGGCTTCTGAGGCAGGTTGCTTTGGCAACTTGGAGATTATGTGTACAAGCACCTTCACATACACAAAGACTACTGGAAACAGTTTCTGTGTGTTGACATAGTGTCATTTCCCCTTGTCCCTTTTCCTTGTTCACCCATCAAAGGGGGGAAAAAAGGAAAACCTGGTCCTGATGGCTCCTGTTTGTGATCCCAGCACTCAGAAAGTAGGGAGATCAGGAGATCAAGGCCACATGAGACCTGCCTCAACAGGCAAAAATCTTAAAAAGGGCTTGGTGTCCAAGGAGACCCCTGTGTCTCCGGTGGATCACTGACCACTGGGTCTGAGAGGTGGTGGTATTCACACAATGTTCCCGGACTCCTGCATTAAGTAACCATATGGCAATTTGAAAAGTTGGTACGTAATTTTTCATTTTGGCACTCTGTACCACCCACAAGCTAGATACTGTTCGATCCACAATGACTGCACCCAGTTCCTTTGGTCAAGCGCTTTGAATTGTGAGCAAATGTAGCATGGTCTGGCATTGTAACTAGCCAACATGTCTCACCAGCCACTCAATTAATGCCAATGGGGCCCAAATGAGTGAAGTCCCTGCCGACTGCCACCTCTTGTTAAGTGGACAGAGCAAACTAACAGGAAACTATCAAAAGGTAATTTCAAAGGTTCTTCAAGAAAAGGGAGCACCAGAGCATACCTTCCTCCAAAGTGTAAAGGAGAAATGAATCCCGCATCCAACTCCTAGGAAGACTCATTGCTGTAAAAGCCTGGCAACTTCCCAATTTGCAATTGAGTATAAAAATAGCAGCATTTCTATTTCAGATCTGATTCTTCCTTGGATCCTGAAGGACAAGGCACCACTGAGGAGACATTTTGGTGGTTCTCTTCTTCTGAACATCTTGTGGCAAAATCTCCTTCTGCTGTTTGTCTTTGGACTTTGCTTCACTCCGGCAGCCGGGCTCTGCGAGGAAAAATTGCTTTGAAGTGACTCTTGCAAATCAAAGGTTCAACAATAATAGGCCACAAAAACATATTACCAATTTACCGTTTTTGGGTTTTTTTCCCAGGAGGTTCGCAGCTTATAAAAGAAACAGCAAAACACTCCTCAGTGTAAGGAGGTTGCTAACAAGACTTTAAGATTCACATTGCAGCCATAAGACTCCATTAAACCCTCCATACACCACACTAAGTAGTAATTGGGAAAAGTGAGACCGTCAAGGTGATTAGTCAAGTCAGGTGACTAGCTTAAATATACCCCCAAAGGATCCTTGTGTGTATAAAGGTAAGGGTGCACCTGAGAGCAGGTAAAAGTGGTCAAGACTGGATCCAGATTTGGGAGACCTGACGCTTACCAATGTAAAAGGGTTTGTCAAAACTGGATCCAAAGTGAGCATTAGTATAAGAACGATACAACAAAGTTCTGAAGGCTTGAGAGTGGATCCCTTCTGAGACGTCTAGGCAGTCGTCAGATATGTGTATTAGAAATGCGTATTATCATAGTATGGGTTCTGCCCACTAGGAGGACTACAACTCCCAGCAACCCCTGCCCATCCGGAGGACTACAACTCCCTTATGTAGCTCCTTCTCTTTCAAGGTGAATAGGCCAGTCTCTCAACTTCAGGCTCCTCATCTGTAAGTGAGGTAATATGAGGACAACATGACACAATGTAGGTCAAGTCAGTGTAGTGCCTGACACGTAGGAGTCATTAAAGGGTTGTAGTTGCTACTGAATGGAAAAAAATAAAAGGAGGACGTGACTACTGAAGGTATGGTGGAGATTTATTACAGGTATGAGGGGGACACAGGCATCTGGGAGAATCCAGAGTGGACGTGACCATCAGACTGAGGTGGGTCATGTGAGGAAAGGGAAGAGGAAGAGAAGGAACCTGGAGCCAAGAGGCCAAAAGGGCCAAAAAGTCAAAAGGGGCAGTGTTGCCAAAAAATGGCAGGATTATAGAGGGAAGAGCAGCTGGGCAAAGGGCAGCCCAGCCCCTGGGCTGGAGACGGTGGGGGGGGGGGGGGGGGGGGGGGGCATGCCATCCAGGAAGACCCTTTAACAGGTAGGCACTGAAGGATGCTGGGAGAACATGGCAGCCAGATCCGCTTTGGTATTTTAAATTGGCACCTCAGCCATTTGTCCCAAAGCCGTAACTTTAGCAGCTGGTGGTCACTGTACACTTCGGTTCTAAGTATTTTTA